ATTTTAGGTTCCTTGTTTCTAGCCCATTGTTTTGATTCCTGTACTGTGCACAAAAATGCCTCACATGTGGTAGGCACACAATAAATATTTATTGAACTGAATTATCGTCCATTTTCCAAAATAGTTGCCATTGATCCTGGATTTGTGTCGTTTGCATACCTGGTAATATTCTTGAGTTTTACTTGAAGTTTTGGATTAATATTAGCTATAAGTTCTATGAGCTGATAGTCATACAAAGTGAATTAATTTCTATCAAAGCAAAAAAAAAAAGAAATGAACAAGACTCAAGGCTCTCACCTATTGGACTTACCCAGATAGAACTACGAGGAGAGCAATAGAAATAATGGAGAGGTGTTGGGAGGCTATTATAGACTCTTTCATCCCTGTATGAAAGCATTCTGGGAGGATTTCATAGATAAAGTCACATAGATAATTTGTGCACTTGAATTTTTTCATTAGTGATCTTTAGGTGAAGTAATACAGAGTGCTTGGTGTTACTAAACATTGGTTCATCTCAAATTCCCCAAATTCAGAGGCATGAAACACCTTGACAAGAAAGTTGGTCTTATTGAGAGAGGGGAAAAAAAGCTTTGTCAGTCAGGAGAAGGTGGGTTGGTCAGCCTCACATGGCTCCATAGAACTGTTTTTCCAAGCTGCTTCACTGCCGTTCCTATCTCCGTGTGTTCCAGGGGGATCTAGACCAGGCAGAAACTGGAGGAGACAGTGCGAGTCTTCCTTATTTTAGCCTCCCATCTCTGCTCCAACCCCGCCCCCCACTGAAGACATGCCGAAATCTTCACTAGGTGCCCTACTGCTCTCTAACTTCTGTATCACAACTGAACAGGATTCCAGGAAAAACATTGACTGGATTCACTATGTACACAAAACACGAATGAGTTCTAGTTAACGAGTTACCTCAACTTGACATTCACCTTGTATCACTTGTAGAGTGAAAGGTTTTGCAGAAACTCTCTGACTTCTTAAGTGGAGGAGACTAAATGTGACATCAGGCTCCACCTCCAGGAATAAGACTGATTCTGAAGTTAAATCTCAGTGAGTACTTTTATTTCAGGGTGACCTACGTGGGGACAGGTGGTTCTAAGCCTCTGTCACATCAGCCCTGGGTAGATAGTAAAGGAGTTTTCGGTTGTTCAGCTTAGAACAGAAAGCCAGAAGTCTGCTCTGTCCGAAAAACTTCCTTCTGTCCACTCCCATCAGTCCCCTTTCTCTGTACCCCACATCTATCGGATACATGTGTATTTTCTTCGCATTAGGGTTTCTGATTTTGCGTGCCTATCATGAACCTTATGTATTATTTTATAGCTGATAATATTCTGATCACAAATGTGGTTTGTGGCACACATGAGCAGTCCCAGCAGCGTTCCTCCCATGCCATGTTCTTTCACTGCTGTATGTCACATCTCGTGTGAGCTAAGTTACAGCTCTTTTTGGGAAATGGCACGTGACTGCTTTTGAATGTGTCTAACCCATAGCATTTATATATCCTAGGATACACGTTTCAGGGCATATGTTCCTAGATATTTTCATTTACAGAAATACACACAGAAAGTCACAGTTAGAAATATGCAGCTTCATTAATAGAAGATATATTCATAACAGGCAATATAGCATAGGGATTAATGCATAAGATCTGAGCCCAAACTACATTGGTTAAAATCCCTGCTCTGTTTCTTAACATTATAAGTTTGAGGGAATTTATTTAACCTCTGTTTTCTCATCTATAAAGTTGGGTTAAATGGTATTTCTTTCAAAATATTGTGAGAATTAAATTAGAAAATGCATGTAATGTGACACACTTAAAAGAGTTCATGGCACATGGTTAAATGTCCAAAAAAAATTTAGCTATTATTTTTATGTCCATTCCCACCTCCATGCCCTCTGATGCTGATATACATATGCATCCCCTTTCAGAAACTCATTCACTAATTGGACAAGCATTAGCTGAACACGCATTACCTCCTAGACACTGTGCTGGGAATAGAGAGCTAAATAAGACATAGTCTCTTTCCTAGTGAATTTCACAGTCCTGTGGGGAAGATTGCAGAGAAACAATAATTACAATATAATACGAGAAATGCTACAATAGAGGTGAGCATAAGAAGCTATGTGTACCCTCAGGAAGGGCAAATTGTGGTGACTGGGACACAGGATTCTAAGGAGAGATATTCTTGAGTTGAGTCTCGAAGGTTTAATAGAAGTCAGCCAAGTGAACAAATCAAGAGAAAGGGGGTTCCAGGTAGAAGGCAGCATGTTCAAAGGCACGGAGGTGGGAGTGATGTTTGAAGAACTTAGGTTGTTATGTTTTCCACATCCGGAGAGGTTGGAAGAGTGGTGGTAGATGCTGCTGGGTGGGCGGGTCTTGACGGAACCATAAAGGCCCAGTGTGCAAGGTAAGGGGTGTGGACTCTACACTATAATTGACAGGGAGCCATTGAAATGATTAAACAGGAGTGCCATGATCAGATGTGGCCCTGAGGAAGCTCGTAATAGCGGACTTTGGATCATTAGTTGGAAGGGAACAAAATTGGAAGGATAGCCCAAAGATAAATTAAGAGCCTAAACTAAGGCAGTGACAATGGATAAATAGCAGGTTGTGAAATGGGGAGATGTTTCTGAGAAAAGTTCAACAGTGTTTTAGCAATCATTAGCACACAACAAAGAGAAGGGGAGAGGTGAGGACGGGGGCACAATGGGGAAATACACTTAGATTTCTAGCTTGCATGGCTGGGGGTGGTGCTATTTGCCAGGAGGAGGAGTATGTTGGGGGGAAGGATAGATGATGAGTATATTTTGTCATGTTGATTTAGAGGTGTCTGTGGAAGATGGCGTGCACATTCAATCGTACAGCAGAATTATCCAAGGAGCGTGTTAAATGCAGATTCTTAGGCTTTTTCTCTAGAAATCCAGATTCTGTAGACCTGAGGTAAGGCCAAAGGATCTGTATTTTTAAAAAAAGGTCCCAGGTGGTTCTGATGTAGCTAGTCCACAGTTGTATAAGGAAATATAACAAAGAGAGTAGGAAATACAGATTTAGGAGCCTCTGCCTACATGTGCTTGCAGCTGCGATTATGAATGAGGTCATACAAAGACCATGGACAACGTAAGAAAAGGAAGGGGCCAATGACCCAGACTCTTATCATTGTTCCAACAGCTATTTTCCTTTGTGTTACCAAAACAATGGCGACTAAAGTGGAATGTGAGATTGTGACAGAAGTGTTAACTGCTCATGGTATCTGTAGTTTAGTTTTCTTCCTCTCTCTTCCATTCTCCATGCCACCCCAGAATTATCTTTCAAAAACACTGATCTGATGATGCTATCCCTCGGTTCCTAAACTTTAAATAGTTTCTCCTTTTCTATAATCCAGTCTCGACTTGCATTTCCAGATCCTTCTGCCAGTACCTCCACCACTAATTATGTGCGTCAGCCACTGTAGACTTGGCCTTTCCGGGACTTATCATATATCTTGTGCCTCTATACTTTCCCTTCTACCTAAAATGTCCTGCCTCAGCTCTGATTCTCTGCCTGACAAGCTCATTCGTAGCTTTACAGAGTTCATTCTTTCATGATCACTCAAATTTCAGTAGCATTCCTACCCATACCACTGATTTTTTTTAGTAATCAGCATGAAGTATTGAATTATAATGGGAACAGCAGAAAGATTTAAGTGGAAACTTTGTCATGTTTCAATGGAAACCCACTTCATTCTCAATGGTTAAATTTAACTATTTCCTGACCTAGTGATTCCACATTTGGGAATATATCAGAAGAAACACACAATACTAGTTCAAAAGAATATAAGCATCCCTATATTTATTGCAGCATTATTTATAATAGCCAAGATACGGAAGCAACCCAAGTGCTCATCAATAGACATGTGGATAAAAAAGCTGTGGTACATATATACAATGGACTATTACTGGCCAGAAAAAAAAGAAAAAGAAGAAATCTTACCATTTGCTATGGCATGGATGGACCTAGAAGAGCAATTTTCAACTGATGTGCCATAGGATTTTTTAGAACATACAGTACCTGACCATTTTATAAGGGGCACTGACCTCTTTTCCCTTGGATTGTCAAATAAAAACAATGACAACAGCCAATATAACAATAGCTGTCCAGTGTGAATGGATCAAATTATACCTATTATTTTTTCCCTCAGATTGGCAAAAAATACATTTTTCGGTGTTCACAGAACTTTAGTAATTAGTTTATGCGTGCCATGAAATGAAAAAGGTTGCAAATCACTTATCTAGAAGGTATGTATGCTAAGTGGAATAAGTCAGACAGAGAAAGGCAAACACCTAATGATTTCACTTATATTTAAAATCTAAAGGACAAAATAAATGAGCAAACAAAACAGAAGCCGACTCATAGACATAGAGATCAAACTGAGGTTGACAGTTGGGAGGGGGTGGGTTGCTGGGTAAAAAAAGGGACGGGATTACAAAATACAAATCGGTGTTTTCTGGGAGATGCTGTCTGCATTTGTAGGACAGTATTTACTCTCATCTTCATTTTTCAGAAGTTTGGTATTAAAAAGTGTATCTCTTCTATCAGATTTTTTATTCCCTAAGTAGCAGAGACTGTTCTCTTCATAGATGAAGCTTCTGGATCTTAGTGCTTCATACATAGCAAGCTTTCACTGTATGTTTGTTAGATTGAACTAAAAATCCTCAAATATGAACTTAAACAAATCACAGGCTATAAACTCTGTAATTTCATCAAATAATAAACATCCAGCTGAATTTTAGTAAAGGAAGCAAAAAAGTCCCATCCTCTAATCCAAGATCATTTAAAATCACAAATTGATTTAGTTTAATGGTTGGTTCAATACTCGTTCAGCCAAACATTAGCCTTGGGAGGTTGCTTTCATTATTACAAAAAAGAAATCAATGAGATCCATTCAAAATGAATTGCAGATTATGCTTTAGGAAAATTTCGTATAAGAAGCAGCAAATAGAAAGAGAGAGGAACTTACCAGCTTAGGATCTGAGTAGGTACCCAGCCCAATGATAGGAATGCTGTTTCCATCATTTAGGGGTATGCGGTGATTTGTAGCACTGAGATACATCTCTGTGAGAGAGCCTAGGACTTCAGATTTCTGAAATTTTGAACAAGTGTCCTAAGATCTATTAGATCAAAGAAACGGGGTCCAGAGGGAGGAGCAGTGGGACGCAAGAGAGATTGACAGATCTATTGCTCAACTTGTTTTCTTCTATGTTGCCCTGGAAATCCTAACTGAGATTGTTTTTTGAACTTTATCAGAGATGTATAAATAACTCATTGAGAGTTTATGCTTACTCCTCTTCTGAGAAAAGATGGAAAAAAACAAAAGGAAACAAATCTAGCTGGGTTCTATCAGGGAGGATGCTCTTGTTGCCAAGTAACAAGTCTATCTCAAACTCATTAAATTAAATTTATAATTTAAATTATAAATGCAATTTATTGGTTCATATGTCTGAAAACTTCAACATTAGGGCTAGCTTAAGGTGAAACTAGAGTAGTTTCCCAGGACTTCCCTGGAGATTCTGATGCAGAGGACAGGGAAGAGGCCTGGGATGTTTATCACCGAATTAAATTTGGGAGACACTGGACTAGATGAAAAAATGACATGGCCAGGAACCTATTCCTTACTTTTTATTTCTTCTCTTTACCTCCTGGCTCTCTCAGCCAACTCTCCCCTTATCATCAAAAGATAGTAATCTTTTCTTGAGGTGGCTCTGTTCTAGGTTGAAGCTGAACAAAAAGGAGTGCTTCCTCCATAGCTCAACAATAACCCAGGAAGGGAGTCTTTGTTTAAATTATTCATAGTGGTCAAAGGAAATAAAAGACTGATTTGACTGACTTCAGGAATTAGAAGCCATTTCTAAATGTGGAGTCGGAGTTAATCCCTCCTGGGAAGATTCCAGATATTGTTAAGAAAAAGAAAAGAAGTAATAATTAGGGAAACAATTAAAAATTGTTTACTATAGTTCTCCTCTAAAACAGCAGTTTTCAACCTTTCTATCTCATGCCACACATAAACTAATTATTAAAATTCAGTGGCACACCAATAATATATTTTTTTTGCTGATCTGACAAAAAAATAGGAATAATTTTGATTCATTCACACCAGATGGTTCTTGTCACATTGGCTGTTGTCAGTTTTGTTTTGTTTTTTATTTCACAATCTAAGGAAAAAGAGGTTAGTGTCCCTGACTAAAAGTCAGATATTGCATGTTTTTAAGAAATTCTTTCAAGAAGGCAAGATGCAAAGGAGTGAATGGAAGTCACACTGACCTCCTTCCCAGGACCAATCTGGAATTACAACTAAATTGTGGAGAAACCATCTGGAACAAACAACTGAACAATAGCAAGAGAAGAGCTTTATTACCTTGGACAGGCAGAAGACTCAGCTTTAGCACAACCTAACTGATAAGGAGTGTGGTAGAGACTTGAGAAGGCTGGCTGGGCGCCCATGGGAGCAGTGCCAGAGGGATAATGAAATGGCAAATTGGATCCCCCTGAGAAGAGTGGGGTCTAAACCATAAGTGGGAATCTCCAGCCTACAGCACCAGAGTCCAAAAAGTACGCAGATAATAGCCAGCTGCAAAAAGCCACAGAGTTGCTCTCTGCTAGAGATGGGCGGTTGGGGACACGAAAAGCTGTTTAAAGGGCCAAAGCGTAAATTTTATTTGCAGTCACTTACCTTGGTCTCCTGAAAAGGTAGGGGTGGAGTGGGCTAGAGACACTTGAGGAGAGACTGAGGATGGAGGCTTTGGGGAGAAAACTGAGAGAGTAGCCGCGGGATCCCGGTGCTGACTCATCCCCGCTTGGCAACAGCCATCTGGCTCAGGCAAACCACTCCCCTGAGTGACAGCAGCATGAGAGGACACAATAGCCCTGCTCCCAGGAGAGACTCTTTCCTGCTCTGTGGTGTCTAAGCCTGATTGCTGAGTGCAGCATGACTAGATTAACAACTGAAGGAGACAGCCACAAATAGTAGATTCCTGGAAGTCTCGAACAGACTGCCTAATGTCAGATGGGGTCAACATCTGACATCATCAGAAGCAGAGCAGGTCCAGAAGGAAAAAAAAAAAAAAAAACAGCGGTAAATACTAGAGGCTACTGAGATGAAATCCACTGTGGTCTTCTCCATGATCTGCTATATTTTCTTTACTATGTCATTTTATAATATTCATTTTGGTCCATCAAGTTTGTGCATATTAAGTCATTAGATTTTATACTAATAGTTTATTTCTCTCCTTTCTTATAATAGTCTTAATCTCTTTATGGCCTTATTAATACTGGTTGATTTGCTGTTGATAGTAAGATTGCAGAGGACAGTTTTTTTTTTTTTTTTTTTTTTTTTGCAGATGTGGGTTTATTTCTTGGGCTTTGTGGTTTTGTTCTGGTAGCACCTGCACAAAAACACACAAACGCAAGATGTGGTGGGCAGACTGACCCTCAGTCAACCAACTGGAGGGTAGGACACACCAAAGAATGACCAAACAATAACCAAAATCCAATTGCTTCCAAAGAGTCAGCATAAACAGGATAAAAGGCATCCAAAGAGGAGCAGCAAGTTCAGGAGATCAAGAAGACTGTACCACTGAATCTCACAGGTCTCCTACCATAGAAATTCACACTACAAAGTCAGGAAGTCAAGACAGATCAATTTAAGAACCAGAAGCTAAAAGGTGAGTCTCACAAATAATGGGAAGACAAAGAAACACCCCCTAGTTGAAAGGAAAGGAGGAATCCCCAGAAAAAGAAATAAATGAAATAGAGGTAAGTAAACTATCAGATATTGAGTTCAAAACAATGGTTCTGAGGAAGATCAATGAGATCAGTGAGCTCAGAGAGAATTACCAAAAACTGCGGGGAAACTATGAGGAACTTACTGAAAACAATATCAGCATGAAAAAGGACATTGACACCATCAATAAGAGACAAGAGGAAATGAAGAATACCATTTCTGAACTGAAGAACACAGTAGAAGGAATCAAAAGCAGGCTCGACGAAGCAGAGGAATGAATCAGAGAGCAGGGTGATAAGGTAGAAAAAAGCTCCCAGAAAGAGCAATAAAATGAAAAAAGACTCAAAAAGAATAAAGAGGTATTGAGAGAAATTCAGGACAACCTGAAATGAAATAATATCCATATAATAGGGATACCAGAAGGAGAAGAAAAGGAGGAAGGGTTAGAGAACCTGTTTGAAAAAGTAATGATGGAAAACTTCTCTGAGGAGACAGAAAGTCACATGAGTTCAGGAAGCACAGAGGGTCCCATTCAAGAGGAACTCAATGAGGCCCACTTCAAGACACATCATAATTAAAATGGCAAATATCAAAGAAAAAGAGAGAATGCTGAAGGCAGCAAGGGAGAAACAAGTAGTAACATACAAGGGAGCCCCGATACAGCTAGCAGCTGACTTCTCAATAGAAACACTACCAGCCAGAAGGGAATGGCAAGAAATATTCCAAGTCATGAAAAGCAAAGACCTGCAACCAAGACCGCTCTACCCAGTAAGGCTCTCAATTAAAATGGAATGTGAAATAAGGCATTTCCCAGACAAAATAAGACTAAAAGAATACACTGCCACCAAACCAGCACTACAAGATATGCTAAAGGGACTGCTTTAAGAAGATGAAGAAAAAGAGTGAGAAAGAGAGGAACACAGGCATAAAGGGAAATAATGAATAAGAACCTATCACTAATAACTTTAAATGTAAATGGATTAAAAACTCCAATCAAAAGACATAGGGTAGCTGAATGGATAAGAAAACATGACCTGCATATAGGCTGTTATGAGAGACCCACCTCAGAAAAAAGAACCTACACAGACTGAAAGTAAAGGGAAGGAAAAAAATATTCCAAGCAAGTGGACAAGAAAAAAAAGCAGGGGTAGCAAAATTTATATCAGACAAAATAGATTTTGAAACAAAGGCCATAAAAGGAGACCCAGAAGGACACTTCATAATATTCAAAGGAAGAATCCATCAAGAAGACATAGCATTTTAAATCTATATGCACCCAACATAGGAGCACCCAAATATATGAGAAAAATCTTGGGGGACTTCAAGAAAGATATAGACAGCAACACACTTACTGTAGAGGATTTTAACACTCCACTGTCAACAATGGATAGTTCTTCCAAACAAAATATCAACAAGGATATTGTGGAACTGAATAGCACGTTAGATCAAAGAGATCTAATTCTGTTCATATTGTTCTATTTTTCTGAATTTGGGGCCTAATTTGGGAGAGATAAAATCAAAAGTTTTGGGGGACAAAAGTTATAAACATAAGATCTAAGTCTCCAGAGGTAAGCACTAGTTATAGGACTTGTTTTAATCATGGCATATTCATTATGAGGGAATGCTACTCAGCAACAGAATATGCAATAACAAAGATGAATCTCAAAATCATGATGCTTAGGGAAAAAGGAAGACATGAAAGAGCCTCTCAATTGTCATTCCATTTCCATGAAACTAGAGAAGGCAAATCCCATCTACAGTGATAGGAAGCTGATCAGTGATTGCCTGGGGTCTGGGATGGAAGGTTGCAATTCACTGGGAAGGGGCACAAAGGAATCTTTTGAAATGATGAAAATGTCTCCTGTAGTTAATTGTGGCAGTGGTATTTATTTTGACAAATATGAAACTATACTCTTAAAAGGGGTACATTTTATTGTACGTAAATTATACTCCTGTCGGGTTGATGTAAAAGGCATTACTTGTTCTTTTAACATTTTCTTGGGGGTTTAACTTTGACTCCATTTACCACTCTTCTGATTTTTATAGCATTGTTATCAGTGACTGTATTTTATGCATATTTTACTAGCCCCACTTTATATAGTTGTTTTATTTTCAGTCAATGATTATTTAGATTTACCCAAATGGTTGATTTTTGGAAACTTATGTCTTCCCTTTTCCTCTCCCTCTCTCCCTTTTTCCCTTCTTTCCTTCCTCCCTTATTTCTACCCTGCTTTCCCTCTCCTGGCTTTCCCAGCTATAATTGAGTCATTGCAGTTTCCTCTTCTTCTCGTGGTGGCTGACCTCCACCAGGCTGTCAAAGGGCTGGGCTTCATCTTTGTTTTGGCTTTATGTTATGTTTATCAAGTAAACATGACATTGAACTGGGTTAAATCTGAACC